CTCTTTACACGGACCAGTTTTGTCCCTCTTTGCTTGGCCACTCAGAAACCAGAACTGAGAACGGATCCTGTGGAGAGCCAGTCATGGCCTCATTACCATAGTATTTGCATCTCATTAGCATCTCAGGGACATGTCACCTCTTCTGCAACAGCAGCTGCAACAGCAGCACCCCTCTGAACTCTAGGGAGCTTTAGGACCCCACCACGCTGACCCTGGTGCCGTCTGAACAGCCAGTCACGGCCTCATTACCATCGAGTTGCATCTCATTAGCATCTCATTAGCCTGGCTAACATAGGACACTCTTTACAGGCCCTCTTCCCTGACACAACCGCGTTCCTTGGCATGATGGGCCACAGCTGAGGACAGCAGCCGCTCGTGACACATGTAGGGCTGGGTGGGGAGGCCAATGGGCTTTCATGCGGCCTCCCGGGCCTCCGTGTGCCTTGGGGCGAGGAGCCCCTCGGGTTTTTGTGTCTCCCCTCGGGGCCTTCATGCGAACTGGGGCGGGAAGGGCCTACGGGCTTTCAGGCGGCCTCCAAAGGCCTCCGCGTGCACTTGGCCAGAGGGCCTCCAAGGGCTTCCGTGTGGCCTCCATACGCCAAACACCAGGGGGCACCCAACAACATTCCGTGGGGCCTCCCCGGGCCTCCCTGCGCACCGGGCCGGAGGGAGGCCCCACGGGCTGTCCTGAGGCCTCCCCGGGTGTCTGTTCCCCCTGAGCAGGAGGGGGCCCTATGAGCTTTATTGCCACCTCCCGTGGTCTCCATGGGGGCACTGTGCGCTTTCGTGCGGCCTCCAGGGGCCTCCGAGCACAAAACGGCAGCGTGCGCCTGAGGCTGCGGCCTCCTGGGGCCTCGGCGCTACGGCACTCTGTGCGGCCATATGGGACCTCGCTGCGCGCAGGGCCGGGGGGGCCCTAGGGTCCTTCATGCAGCCTCCCAGGGCGTCTGGGCTCACTGGGCCGGGTGACCGTGTGGGTCTCGTACGGCCTCGCGGTGCCTCCATGCGCAAAACACCAGGGCGCCCTACAGCCATGCGTGCGGCCTCCCGGGGCCTCCATGAGCACTGGGCCAGGGGAGCCCTAAGGACTTTTGTGTGGCCTCCCGGGGCCTCCATGAGCACTGGGCCAGGGGAACCCTAGGGGCTTCCGTGCGGCCTCCCGGGGCCTCCGTGCGCCCTGGGCCGGGGGTCTCTCCGCCTTTCATGCAGCCTGGAAGGGCCTCCGTGTGTGTTGGGCCGCTGGAGCCTACAAGATCTGTTGCGGCCTCCCGGGACCTCCATGCGCACTGGACCGCGGAGGCCCTACAGGCTTTCGTGAGGCCTGGAAAGGTCTCTGCGCACATTGGGCCAGGTGGCCCTACGGGCTTTCATGTGGCCTCCCGGGGCCTCCGTGCGCCCTGGGACAAGGGGACCCTTCGGGTTTCCGTG